TGGCTACCGCTGAGGGAAAATCTCTCTGACAAATGTGCACTGGCGAGCACGATCACCTACAGTGGACTAGACATGTGCAAAACATCTCGAAGAACAACAGTTATTGAAAGGTTAATAACTGTTTCTTATAGTACACGCCCACACAACCTTAACTCTGCCCTGTTTGCTCATAACTCTCAGCCGTTGCACTGTACTGGACAGGAGCTACCTACACATGCCCTATACGCCACACAAACATTTACTGAGCAGCAGGCTGGGCTGTAAATCTACAGTGTTTCAGCGTGCTGCACACTAAGTGTGTTTGTACCGTACATCTAAGGCCCTTCATTTTCTGCTTTTAATTGCTTTTTATTTATTTTTTTTACTGAAAACTTCCCAGGTTTTACAAAAGCGGTTACTTGGTTTTTACTGATTTTTCACCTGAATTTTGGACCATTGTCACAATCACAGCACTGCCAAGCTGCTCCAACTAATTCCTCCATTCGACACAGTTGCACCTAACAGCGAATTCAGCTGAAGTGCATGCAGATAATTCCAGTGACTATTGCCAGTTCCAGGGGGGGAAAGTTAACGTTGCTTGGATATGTACCTTAATTCTGTATTTCCTGGTTTTCAGACATTTGAGTTTTGCTGAACTTGATATTCTGAAAGGGCAAGAGATAAAATCATAGAAATGTAGGACTGGGAGGGACCTCGATAGTCCATCTAGTCCAGTCCCCTGCACGGAGGCAGGCCTAAATATACCACCAGGTAACCTTAACTGTGTATTGACAAAGTGTTTTGTCTGTGATTTCCTTAATGTCCGTGATGTGTTGAGATACTGTTGTGAAGGGAGCTATATAAGTACCTAGAGTGGTGGGAGTGTATCTTGTATGTTGGTACCCTCAAAGCAGCAGAGCACAATCTGACTCTTATTATAGTGGCACACCAGAGTGTCTCTTTCACCTTCCCCAGTGTGGAAGCTGTGCTTCTCTGCATGGAGCGTTGAGAACAGGCATGGTCAGGCATGCACCAAGCACAAAGTGCTGAGACAGGTGCATGTCACAGGCTCACAAGCACTGGGAAGGCGGGGAGACAGGTGCATGTCACAGGCTCACAAGCAGTGGGAAGGCGGGGATGAGAACAGCTGGTGAGATAAATGGATCTGTTCACATGTCTCAGAGCTGTTGTTTCTGGCTGTGTTCATCTCAATTAAGTGTTGTCACTGAGCAGAGAACACCTCATTGAGATGAATGGGCCATTTCATACATCTCTGAGCCTCTTGTGCTGCCAGATGAATGTACAGAACACCTTCCCCATACACTAGGCCCAGATCTACCATAGGGATTTTGCATCTCCACTCACTTGCCCCATCCTGCCTCCAGCTGATACAGGCACTCCTCACAGCCCCACCACCTCCCTATTGTCCCTCTAAGCTTACCAGATGCATGGAGTGGTAAGGAGGAGGGTGAAGCTGGGGGGTGGGGAAAGCACAAAGAGTGGTGATGTGCAGGGAGGAGCTTGGAGTAGCAAGGGAGTACGGGGAGGTTTGAAGCAATGGGCATGTTGGAGTGGTAGGGAAGTCTGTGCAGTTGTGGGGGTGGAGGAGGATATGGGCATTGGTGCAGGAAGGGGGAGTGTTGGACCAGTGCAGGAAAGAGTAGGTGGAAAGGTGAGGGTCAGATCTGTGCAGTGGGGGTGTTGGAGGGGCTTCAGCTCTGTTCCCTCCAAATCAGTCCATGAGTGATAGGTACTTTCATGGCCCCTATCACTGTAGTATCTGAGTCCTCGCAATGTTTAATGCATTTATCCTCACAACATGCCTGTGAGGTAGGGAAATGCTATTAGCCCCTTTTTTACAAAAGGGAAAATGAGACACAGAGAGACTTGAGGTTCCTGATTAACTGTTAATCCACTTTGTGGATTAAGCTAATTCAGAATAAGGCATTTACTCTGGAACAGAAGTATTCACACAGAGAGCTATTCAGGAAGAACTATTCTACTTTAAATTCACACCCTACCTCAATCTGAATTAACTTGCCTGGGTAGACAAGACATAAGTGACTTGCCTTAGATCACACAGCGAGTCTGTCGCAGAGCAGGAAATTGAACCCAGGTCTCCTGGCTTCTAACCACCGGCCCATCCTTACTCTCATGTCCCCACTGACTCCATGCTCGTCCCTGCACTATTCCTGCCTTCGCTCTCCAGCTCCTTCACCTGCGCATCCCATGCTGACGCCTGCCTCTTCATGGGGAGGATTATGGGTGGCGGGTATAAGAGGTCAGGGGAGACTCAGCCTCCCCAAACAGGATGCGGCACACCTCCCTCTGGTGGCATGCTGGCCCTCCACCTTCGGAGCGCTGCTGCTGATAGGGCACCTGGGCCATAACCCCACCCTGAGGCCCCGCTCCTGCTTGTCCTCTTCCCCTGTGGCCCCACCCACACTGTTCCTCTTCCTGTCCCCGCTCCGCCTCTTCCCCTGAGGCCCCACTGCCCATTGCTTGTGCCTTTCCACCCCGTCCCCTGAGGGCCCCCCCCACCCACAGGGGTGCAGAGGCATGAGCAGCAGGAGGGGGGCCTTGGGGAAGGAGGAGAAAGGAGCATGTGGCGGGCAGGGGGGCCGAGCAGGAGCGGAGCCTGCGGTGGAGTGGAGTGGAACATGGGCGGGGCCTTGGGGGAGAAGGCCGAGCGGGGGCAGGCCTCAGGGCAGAGCAGGGGAGTGGAGCCACGGTCCGGTGCCGGTGCCCCCATGCACTTCTTGGGAGCTTCCAGTGCTTATGCCCAGCCTCCCCAAATGCAGGAGTCACGCGCCGTCCATGGGGAGGGTGTTTGGAGAAGGACAGAGAGATGGGAGCTGACGAGATGATGCAGAGGCAGTGAAAGGCCTAGCATACAGCCAGCACATTCTGTGGCCAGGGCAATCATTGACCAGGGGCCAGAGGCAGTGGAGGAAGAGAGCTGCACTGTGGTAAATGGGTGTGCTAAGAAATTATTTTGTTTTCAAACCAAGAAATTAAATGCCCAGACACTTTAACGCAGAGTTATGGTTTCCCATTGGTGCCTGGTGCCCTTCCAGAATGTGGAGTGTTGCTAAACTTAACTCTCTGAAAACTAGGAAATTCAGAGTTCAAGTACAAGCGATCTCTGTGTGAGGTCAGGGGAAAGGGGGCGTCTGGAGCAGCAGTGAACTGTGTGGGCTAGGGTGTGGTTGGAGAGGCCTGGCTGCTGTGTGCACAGGGGGCCTGGCTCGCCGTATGTACAGCTTAGCCTACATAACCAAGGAACTATGTGACCTAGTAAACTGCTGCCTGTGGTGTGTTCACAGCAGCAGAGGGCATCAGACAGCAAGGAGCAACTTTTTACCTGTGAATTGCCTTTGAAGTGCTAATGGCTGAATGGGGTTATTCAACTATTACCACCATCCCACTATAACAAAGTTGTACAGGACAGGAAGGATCACTTAGGAATTACATAGTATCCTTTAACGTTTGGCCAGCCACAGCAGTGCCTCAACTGCAAAGGTTGTGTTGGCATGTACCTTAACTCTTCATTGCCTGGTTTTCCATGGTTTGCGTTTTGCTGAACTCAGAAAGGCAGGCGATACCACTGGGCAAACTTAACTCTGCATTAACAAAGGTTTTTGTCAGTTAATTTAGTTGCACACTCATGTGCAATACACTAAGGCTTGGTCTACACTAAACCCCCAAATCGAACTAAGGTACGCAACTTCAGCTACGTGAATAACGTAGCTGAAGTTCGAAGTACCTTAGTTCGAACTTACCTCGGTCCACACGCGGCAGGCAGGCTCCCCCGTCGACTCCGCGGTACTCCTCTCGTCTAGCTGGAGTACCGCAGTCGACGGCGAGCACTTCCTGGTTCGACTTATCGCGTCCAGACAAGACGCGATAAGTCGAACCCAGAACTTCGATTGCCAGCCGCCGAACTAGCGGCTGGGTGTAGACATACCCTTAGAGACTGAGTGAAAAATCTGCCGTGCATGATCAGGACAGTTTTCAGACATCATTATATTTTAAATTAAAACCTTTTTTTTCTCCAAAAACTAAAAGTGCTAGTCTTCAATGAGGGCTATGTCCATTTCAAATTTAAAAGTTCAACCATTTTTGCTGAATTTGTCACAAAGGTAAGAACATATGAAACAGGTTATAACGGAAATTCTTTTGCTGTCGTCAGCATAGTGGTTACAACTGTAGGCCTGCTATAATGGGGATCTAAAATTAAAGCTTTTCAGGATCTCACAGTAGTCAGGTTTCACAAAAGACAGGCGTAGATAGATTGCTTAGCAGTTCTTTCTGTACAGTGCTTAATGTTAATTCTCTCGCTTGTTACAAACCCATTATTGGAAAGGTTGCTTGTTGCCCATAGGGGTTTACGAGGGTAATTCCATTTTGCTTCATGATAAGGTCTTGCTATGCTTCAGGCAGATTTATACAGCAACCAGCTGTACCTTACAAAGAAGAAAGAGCTTGTGTGTCTGAGAAATGTGGATTGTGGTTTCCGAGTATCCAGTGCACTGCCACTGAAAGCAATAGGTGTCATGTTTTAAAAGATATCTCCAAAACAAATGCCTTCCTGGACATGTCTAGAGTAGGAATTAAGTGGAATGTCATGCTGAAAGGCCGGTTTTCAATACCTAATACAGGAACGAAAGAAAATTACACAGGCACAGGAAATTTGAGAAGCAAAAACATATTTTAAAATGACTTGCTATCTTAAAATCCTTGTGATATGTGTGTGCCTTCCAGAAATGAAACTACTAAATGCAGGTTGGAAGGAACCCACAGATTGATAGGGTATTTGGGGGGGAATATCTGTGAGCACCCAGTTGTTAGTAGGTATCATTTTCATGTGACTCTTGTTGAAACATGTGTGTATTTTTAACTGTTCATCAATCTATGTTCATTTTAATTACTGTTACCTGTGTTTTGTTAACACATTTAATAATTTGCTTTATATTTATTTTTTATGTTTTGTTTGCTTTCTTTGCCTTCATTACTACTAGGTTGCAGTACAGACTGGACACTGCCAATCGTTTAGCTGATGAGCATGCACTGATAGCAACATATGTGAGCCGGCTACAGAACGGTACACGGTTAGTGTTAGGAAAGCTTTCATGGAGTGGGTTTGGGGACAATAATGCTGTTTTCTTTGGGAGATTTACAGCAGGGAGGTGAAAGTCACCCCATGGCAGTAGGTCTGCACAAGGCCCTCCACACCACTTAAGCCTCTTATTAAGAGCTTACATGGTGCTTATATGGTGTGCAGGGATTTTCTCACCCTTTATCCCACGGTGAATTTTATTTAAATCAAAAACATATTTTTTGGTGTCTTCAGAGTTTTCTCAGGGTTTTGTGCAACTCTCGCTTGAATTTTTTTTTCTTCAATTATGAACTTAGTTCTAAAAATGCATTAAAAACTGGCCACCTTTGTTACTGTAAACAATTTAATGGTAGTTCTAGGAAAACACTAAAATGGTTTCAGCATAGTGGTCCATGGATACTAAACCATTTTTTTTTTAGATCCTATTCACTGCTCTACTCAAGGGTATATGTGCCCCAGCAGATGCAACTGGGGCAAGTCTGTCAAGAATCCTTCAAATCATTCTGAAAATACACATGCACATGACTTACGTAACATGCCACGGTCTCAAAACTCCAGTCCTTTATCTTTCCAAAACTGTGTGAGAGAAGTTTGGTAAGTGCTTTGGAAAGATCCTCTCTTCTCACTTACAATTAGTGGCTGTGTGCATTTACCTTTTATATCTGTAAATCTAGATTCTGTATAAAGAGAGAGGTCTAGAAAGGTTTCCCCCAGAGCTCTAAAGCATGGTGGCTTCACTCCACCATAACTTCATTTTCTACCACTTTGCTTCCCTGGCCTGCAAGTCTTCCCCACCCCACTTTGGGGCCTAATGATCCATTAACAGAGGCGAATCTGTGCTGGAGAGGAAGAGGAGGTGCAGAGCCCTAGAGGGTGTGCCTGGAGACTTTGCATCAACCTGTCCACACGTGCCCACTGGCTAAGATTTTTGGAAGAAGGCCATATGCCATCATTCTTTCATTTAGCAATTTCTGTCCCACAGATATGTGGGAAAGATGAGCTCTAGCTTTCCAAATCTTGGAGAGAAGTCAGTCATTCCCCCTGAAGGTTGAGTCACTATTCTCTGCTAACACCTGTTTACCCAGCAGCATATAGCACTGTCCACCATGTAACAAGCAAGGAATTCCTGACTCCCCACGTCAAAGGATTAATGTAGTTATTTCAGCTTAAGATGAAAAGGAGCTGGTGATGAGGGGCTGTCACACTGACTGCACTTCAAGGCACATACATGAGATTTGAGAAACTACTAGATGTAGCTAATAGCTGCCACATTGCAAAATGTTGGAGCACTTGGTCTCAGAGGGAGGATTTTGCTCCTTCCAAAGCATATTGACATGTTTTTTAAAAATTAAATAAATTCTGCCCTCAGTGTGTCTGGCAGAGTTGATCAGGAGAGAGTGCTCCTCCACATCCCCGATGAAGCCTCCACCTCCGATATCCATACTTTTGATCTCTCCCAGCCATCAAGAATCCCATGTACAGGTTACATCCTTCTGCCTGAGATAAACCGGTGGGATTCTCTATGCACCATAAAAAGTCATTGCCAAAGGTGGAGGTGGCCTGCCATTCCAGGACTCATACACACTCAGTGAATAATAATAATCATCATCATCATCATCACTCCCTCTCCTTTTATAGATTCATAGAATTTAAGGACAGAAGGGGCCTTTAGATTATCCTGTCTGACCTCCTGTGTCGCACAGACCATTGCATTTCACCCAATTACCCCATATTATAGCTGTGTCTTCAAAAGAGGAAGGGAGCTCACTGGGTCCAAGAGATGCCCCTGGGACACAACAATGTAAACCTTATTCATTGTATTTTCTGACTGGAAGCTACTCATAATGTGTGGGACTTTGAAATTGGTTTGGAATCAAACCACATGCACACAAGTCATGGAGATCACCTCCAACCCCTCCAAGAAAGCTAGCTCTTAGTTGGGACACACCCAGGAATCCACAAGGGACACAAAAGAGAGATACTTGGACCAACTGTCCCCATTCCACTTTCTATCAATTTTTAAAAAACATCAAAACTGTTATAAAAATGCTTCATTTATTGAAAATTGGGTTTTGTGGGAAACCAATTTCAATAACCATTGATAAAAATTCAATTAAAATGTTGAAAAAATGAAACATGGGTCTGTCTTGAACCCCATGAAATGGAAACAGCTTAGAAATTTAGAAATTTCTTAACATTTTTTAATTTTTTAACAAGCTTTAGTTGACTCTACTGCCTGTGTGAAAGAAATCTCCCTTGCTGTCCTCTGCAGAGCAGCAACACGGACCTCTCTTCACGCATCCATAAAGTGATATTGATTGGAACCAGGCTCCTGAGAACATATTTCCTAAGTAGGAGAGAACCAACTCTCTCCACCGCACCCCCAGAGGAGTTTTGTTTATTTGGGGGATTTTATGTTCGGTTGGCCAAATATCTCTATTTGAAGTCATTTTCTCATTTTTATTGCTACCTTCACATTCCAGTGTCAGAGTCTCTCTGGTATCTGTTAGCAGCTAAAATTTCTCATTGATTCTGATGGTCTTTTCTGTTGCTGCCTGTTGCAGCCTATTTTTTGTTTGGGACATCCTCAAACTTCTTACCATTCAAGTGTGAGAATCCTGTGGAGACAGCGGCCCTTCTTCTCCGGTATGTCCAAGCTGCAGTGGAGAGTGGCCGTCTCAGGGAGCCAGTTGTGGGCTGCCTGGCCCCAGCATAAGTTAGAGCAGAAGGACCCTGCTCTAATCTGTGCTGCTGGCGTAAAATCCTTTATTCCAATGAAGGATTAGGCATAGTGAAGCTCAGTTGTTACTCCCCAGGTCTTCCCTGACATGCTCCTGTCTTCCCCTTTACACTGGGGAAAGGGGAATGACTGGTGCTCGCTCTATGCCATTCCCCTCCAGAAGAGAAATTCTCTGCTAGGAATCTCTGGTGAGTTTATGTCCACTTTGCACTCTGTAAGCAACACAAAGTGGTCAGAGCGGTCTGGAGACTTTGGCCCAATGTCTTTAAAGTAGGGGAAATTATGTTATTACATAACTGCTTATCTGTAAGTATCTTATCATTTCTTGGAAAGGGCCATTTTGAAAATAGCCTGTACAGGTAGTGCATGGTAGCCAATATGGCGCATTCAGGCTCACACTCTACCCTCCTCCTGCTGCCCTCAAAGGCCAAAAATTCTGAGCTGATCTTGTGTTAGAAGAAACAGTCGTAAGAGTGAGAATCCTGTGAGATTGGCTTCAGAGCAGTAACTACAAGTAAATGATTTTTCTTTACTTCGTGAAGCAGGATATAGGATTCTGTGACATTTCATAGATTGCTGTTTAATACTCTTTATAATATTCCTACAGTATTGTTAGATATGGTACATGTGTATTGCACTGAATGGTGAATTGTGCCTTCTGTTTCCATGCATGAAGCCTGAGTTCTGTATTAATTGACATGTGGAAGTCTGAGGTATAAGAGGCAAGTTCGAACTCAAGTACCTTTCTGCACACATAAGACTTCTGACAGTAATGAAGAAAAAACTGTAGATTTTCTCCATTACAATATTAATTTTTGAAGATTTTTTTTCTCATACATTTTAGCATAAAGAGAAACTGTTTCAGGAAGTGAGACACAGTTAAGAGATACCAAATCATGGACAAAGGGAGAAGGGAACGAAAGGTCCTGCAGCAAGAGAGTTGACTAGAAAGAAGGGGTCAAACAGCTTAAATTGCTGATGAAATCCACACAGGTCTCAAAATCAAATTCAGAAAGCAAGGTAGGGAAGGTGGACCTACAATAAAAATGTGCCATGGTCCAGAAAATGTGTTTTGAATATACAGTGTTATGGGGGTGGGTGGGAAATAGAAACAGGGAAAGATCATCAAGGCCAATACAATGGTTTATCTCATCTCTTAATACTACTTTCCTAAATTTTCACCTTACCTTACAGGCCCCTCTTTCTCTAGTATCGGTGCATCTAGATCACTGAATATCTTCAAATTATTCTGTTTATGGACACACAGTAGGCCAAATTCAGAGGTATATCTGAACTGGTATTATTTACACCTACTTCCAGGCCTTTCAGTCTGTAAATTACAGCATTACCTTAATTCAGCTTCCTCACGCTTCCCTGCTGTGTAAGATATAACCTCTGACACCCCTCCTCTGACTGACCACCTAAGTCGGGAGGAGTCCAAGTTAATGAATTTGAACAAATCCACATTTTAAAATAAATGTGAGGTATGTAACTTGAATTCTACTGTTTAATTAAAATGAATATTTGCCTGTGAAATTAAGGTGTAGTTAATGATTGTACAAAGTAATGCAGATATTTTAAAAAGTGTCCTACCAGGCACTTAACATTTATTTCTTTACCATAATTTCATTTTTAGGGCTTGATTCTGATCCTGCATTTGATTGCAAATGCATAGGTACACATCACTGCATGTTTTCTGACATCCAGCACTACATCTGTGGATCCAGTATCAAGAAGCAAGTCCTTCTGGCATTAGGCTACATCGCAAAATTGAGCCTTATTAAAATATTTTATTACCTATCATTTTAAAGACAAACTATAGTGGAGAAGAAAGACATACTGTAGTGGCTGAATCAGACACCAGCAACAAAGGCAAATATTTCAATTTAACACTAACTTGAAAAGCCCGCTCTTTCACACGGCATCTCACTTCTGCTTTGTTGTAATGGGAACTTTGCAGCCCATAGTCTGAGCTCATAGCAGGTCTTTATATCGACTAATTTCAGTTAATTCAAAACGTACGGTTTGTCCACGGGAGCTTGATATTATTATATTTTAAAAGTTGTTTAGTTTAAAACAATTTCTAAAGTTTATAGTGTGTTATATATTAGTTATGCCCTGCCAGGCTCACCAGACTAGTGTAAGCACTTTGCTGGATATATAAATAGTTTGAGACCCATGTTGTGCTCTCTTCCCACCATAGATTTCCCATTAGTCCTGAGGATCACCCACCAAAATTATCAGACACACAGATGAACACCGTTTGTTGGAGAAGAGCCAACAGGGATTTTATAAAGGGAAATCATGCCTCACCAATCTATTAGAATTTGTTGAGGGGGTCAAAAAACATGGACAAGGGTGTACTTGGACTTTCAGAAAGTGAGGGACCTAGTCAAAGGCTAAAGGCTTTTAAGCAAACTAAGCAATCATGACATAAGAGGGAAGGTCCTCTCATGGATCAGTAACTGGTTAGAAGACAGGAAACAAAGGATAGGAAGAAACAGTCAGTTTTCACAGTGGAGAGAGGTAAATAGCTAGGTCCCCCAAGGATCTGTACTGGGACCAGTGCTGTTCAACATATTCATAAATGATCTGGGAAAAGGGGTAAACAATGAGGTGTCAAAGTTTGCAGACAATACAAAATCAATGGCTATTAGCCAGGATGGGCAGGGATGGTCTCCCTAGCCTCTGTTTGCCAGAAGCTGGGAATGGGTGACCGGGCATGGATCACTTGATGATTCCCTGTTCTGTTCATTCCCTCTGGGGCACCTGGCACTGGCCACTGTCGGAAGACAGGATACTGGGCTAGATGGACCTTTGGTCTGACCCAGTATGGCCATTCTTATGTTCTTAAATTTGCTCAACATAGTTAAGTGAAAAGGTGACTGCAAAGAGTTACAAAAGAATTTCACAAAACTGGGTGGCTGGGCGGCAAAATGGCAAATGAAATTCAATGTTGATAAATGCAAAGTAATGCACATTGGAAAACATAATCCCGATTATATGTAGAAATAATGGGGTCTAAATTAGCTGTTACGACTGAAGAACCAGATCTTGGAGTCATTGTGGATAGTTCTCTGAAAACATCTGTTCAATGTCCAGCAGCAGTCAACAAAACTAACAATGTTAGGGACAATTAGGAAAGGGATAGATAATAAGACAGAAAATACTATAATGCAACTATATAAATCCATATTATGCCCACACCTTGAATACTGTGTGCAGTTTTGGTTGCCCCATTTCAAAAATGATATATTAAAAATGGAAAAGGTGCAGAGAAGGGCAACAAAAATGATTAGGGGTATTGAACAGCTTTCATATGAGGAGAGATTAAAAACACTGGGACTGTTCAGTTTGCAAAAAAAGACACCTTGGAGCGTCTATGATATGATAGATGTCTATAAAATAATGACTGGTGTAGAGAAAGTGAATAAGGAAGTATTATTTACCCCTTCTCATAACACAAGAACTAGGGGTCGCCCAGTGAAATGAATAGGCAGCAGGTTCAAATGAAACAAATGGAAGTATTTCTTCACACAACACAGTCAAGCTGTGGAACTCGTTGCCAGGGGATGCTGTGAAGGCCAAAAGTATAACTAGATACATTCATGGAGGATAGGTCCATTAACGGCTATTAGCTAAGATGGTCAGGGATGCAACCCCACGCTCTGGTTGTCCCTAAGCCTCTGACTGTCACATTCTGGAACTGGATAACAGGGGATGGATCCTGCGAAAATTGCCCCATTCTGTTAATTCCCTCTGAAGCATCTGGTGCTGGCCACTGTCAGAAAACTGGATTAGGGCTAGATGGACCATTAGTCTGACCCAGTGTGGCCGTTCGTATGTTTACCACCAGAGTTCCTATTTTTGCTTTTGCTTCTCCAGCCTTCAACTTCCAACTTTTCCTACTGTTTCATGGTGCTGTCACTGTGGATCAGAATTGCTGGAGACATTTTCCTCCAGAGCTCGTTTACTGTTTCTCCCAAGACAGCTGCAGTAATATTTCTACAGAGTGATGTGAGGTCCTTACCTCTGCACCTGCAGCCGTATTGCCCTGATCCAACATCTGCTGAAATTAGGCAGTCAGGTCAAGCCCTAAAAGTGCTATCTCTGCAGCATCCTCAACCTCTGTCAGCCATGGAGTGAAAGACAAATTCTAGGTCTCAAACTCGAATCCTTGCATGCCTTGGACATTTTACTCCTGCCAGGCTGGCCTATCAGCAGTATTTCTGCATTTTAGTTTATCTTTTTCAGTGACAGAGCGAATTCTTCTCTGGTTAGCATGATTTACTCATTTTTTTCTTTTTGGAAACCATTCTCGATTTGACATTTGTCACATAGATCTTTTAAATACAGGACTTTCCACCTTCACCATTCAGTTTAATTCCCCGTTTTGATCGGGGTCTATTAAAAAATTTTCTTGGAAAAACAGTATCGTTTTTGCTAACAATCTTTTTATAGGTTTTTTTTTCAGTTTTGGAAACTTATTGTTTGAAATATTTAACACTAGGCTGGACAAACCCCTGAAGAATAGACTACTGAGAGAACAATCTAGTGCTAGGCCCTGTGTTCGAGACTGGGAGAAGGGCATGGTCTAGATGGTTTCTGAGAGGGGTTTTTCATTTCAGATTAATTTGATTCTTTTCTTTGACATGTACAGTGTAATGTCCTGTGCTGAAGCTATGTGTATTGATGGGGATGTGTTGACTTTTTGTTCCCTTGGCAGTGTCTTGGACAGCCCTAGCAGACTTGATGAGGAGCACAGACTCATTGCCCGATATGCTGCCAGGCTGGCTGCAGAAGCTGGAAATGCAGTAAGTAAATGCATTGACTCTCCAATTTGATTTTCTCTGGCTCTTTTCTTATTAAGGAAGGTAGCAAAATGTTTTTCAGAGCTTTGATTAGTATCTTAACATTGTGCTAAATTGAGTCAAATTGTCTTTTTTTCTGCTTAGCTGATGTAAAATGAGGCATTATTTCCCTTTCCACTCCTTTCTTACTGTTTATAGCATGAATACCACCTTCTCAAGAAGGTTAGGGAAAAGATGGAAAATGTCCAGGAAATGGCAACGTGATTGCAAGCATGGAAAGACTAGTCCTATATAGTGTAGAGAATGGACAAATAGGAGGACACATGATAAAAGCATAAAAAATATCACATGCTACAGAGAATGTAAATCAGTCCCTATTTATGTTGTCTGACAATACAAGAAAAAAGGGGGAATCCAATGAATTAAAAAGACAAAAAATTTAAATTGATAAAGGAAAAACTTCTTTACACAGTTCATAAAATCATCAAAGTGTAGGACTGGAAGGGACCTCAAGAGGTCATCTAGTCCAGTCCCCTGCACTCAGGACAGGACTATGTAATAACTATTGATGTCTATATATTATAGCACTTCTAGTACCTTTAGCTGGAAGAGCCCAGAGGACTCTGGCATGTGGATTTAGGAATGGGAAAAACATAGGTGATTTTGAGGTTGCAGATAGGAAAACCCAGAGAACCCCTGTTGCATTATCATTAACTTACCTGAGAATTTCCTCAGCATTTCCCTCAGGACATGGACTCTATATGCATCCTTCAGTTCAGCAGCAATGAACTCAAGTTCCTGCAGCCGCACTTCCTCACTCCTGGCCAGTGTTCCCTTTTCATCCAAATTAATTGCCAAAAGATATCATAGGGAACTTGGAGAACATGCAGAACTAAGAATTTAGTGCGAGTTAATAGAAGATTAGCTGTTTATATCAAGGTTAATAAATATCTGGCTTTTTTCACACTAGCTAATGCATTCCCATGGGAAGACAGTAGCATTTATACTGACAAACTTCCCCAAGGTATTCAGCTGGGAAGATCTGCTCTGAACTACAGCCAGGGTTCTATAAAAGCACCAACAGCATAGGCCACCTAAATATGCACTGAATCAGATTTTCCAGGTGATGGGGCCATGCTCCCTGCCCATGTAGAGATTACAAATACACAGAACTCTGTGGTCAGGGTGAATGCAATACTGTTTTTATGTCCTGTTTATACAGACTCCTTACCATATAACTCCTATGTCCACCCTGAATAGTAGCTCTAAATGTTCACAGCTAACACTGCCTTAATGACACATTCTAAGGCCTGTTCTGACTAGCTTTGGGCTCACTGGTGTGGAGTGGGTTGATGGAGTCTTGCACTCAAAGCCCCAGTATTGCACTGTACCCCTTCATCCCCAGCTCAGACAGTATGGCTACCCCATCACCATTTCAGAATTATGAATACCCACCTTGTCCTCAAACAATCTTTAAAAGTATGACTGTCCACTCCAAGCCAGTGAACAGTCTGAATTTCCTCTGCCACAGTGTAATCTCTAGCACAGTGGTTCTCAAACTGGGTCCGCCACTTGTGTAGGGAAAGCCCCTGGCGGGCCGGGCCGGTTTCTTTACCTGCCGGGTCCGCAGGTTCGGCTGATTGTGGCTCCCACTGGCCGCGGCTCGCCGCTTCAGGCCAATGGGGGCTGCGGGAAGCGGCGGCGGCCAGCAAATCCCTTGTCCCGCGCCGCT